AAGGGGGAGGGGAGTTATCTTGAACTCAGATAATTCAAAAAAGTTAAAAACGGTATAGTACTGCAACTAAGAAATACATGGCTTGAAGACCAGAGTACAGACATTTCTTAGAGAAACATAATCTAATTTAAAAAAAAAAAAAGTATTAAGTATCAGGAAATCCCTTTAACTCACTCATTATATATATTACTTGGTCTCCGAGTGTGAAGTTTTCTATTGAAAAATAACTACTCCAGTCATTTCTCTCATACAAACATAATAATATCTATAAATGGATTCAGGCAAGATTGAAAAGTCTAAAAACACAAAATATTATTACAAAAGACAATTATTGGAAATAGTTCATTTTAAAGCGCTCTCTAAATTTTTAAGAGTATAAATTCCGGTCAAAGCAAACTTAGTATGCTTAGAATATTAAAATAAGCATCTTCAAGCTTAACAATTAATTAGGCTTCTTTAAAAGTACGTAGTCAGTACCTTGATAAACAGAATTAAACTACATTTCTCTCAAAGGAATTTACCCCCAGATCTCCCAATAACTCAATATGAAAGTGAAATATTACTTCCAAATTCTAGAAATACTTTCAAATTATGCTTTTCTTAATAAGCAATAGAGATAAATAACACTACATAAAACTCAGTTTTTACTTAATTTTGTTATGTCTTGTTCTGAGAAAGTAAAAATAAAATAGGCTATGTCAAAATCTAGTACAGACATGTCAGATGTTTCTATGACAGTCTGATGATAGATTAGTATAAAAATTAAGTAAGAAATTAATTTAGGAAGCCTTCAAAGTACATTTTTGAGTTCGGTAGTCTGATTGAAATAAAGAAGCTTCTACACATCAATTGGTGTAGCTCGGCTCATATTTAAAATTTTAATAACAATCACTATGCAGAACCAAAATTGTTTAGTACAGAGTAAAAATCTTCACTTTTCATCCCTACTGAAAAGCCTTAATCTTTCTTCAAATACACCACTCTTAAATGTAGGCAGCAGTAGTACAGGTTCAAAAGTATATTCAAATATCATCAGTAAACAAATGGGATGAATGATGTTAGAAAGCATCCCAAATACACTTCTTAAAATGCTGAGAGTAATTATGTACTTAATTTTAACTTTGGTTTACTAGATTTTCTTTATTTACATTAAGGTTATTTTTCTCTCCAAGTTATACAAGTTCTTGGTAACTGTATACTCAAGAAAAACAGAAAGCCACAGAGTTGAGGTTAGGCACACTAGGAACATGTAGGTATAGTAAGACTATTTCTCCAAATACTGTAACTAGTTATACAATCACTGGAATGTTTGGTGGTTGTATCTTTTCACTGAATTAAAGGGAGGAAGGGGAGCACAAGATTTGTCACTGGGGAATATCTCAACCAATGCAGGTGACTTCCAATAGACTACCCATAATCCTTCTTGAAACATAAATTGTTATCTCCAACTAAATTATCCAAAATATAAAGTTCAAGAATTGAATTTTCTCCTTTAAAAACAATCTATATCTGCGCCAAACAAAAGTATTTTCAAAATACTTTAAAGAAATGTGTATGAGATCTTATGAAAGCATCACTAACTGAACATTACTTACAAGTTATAAAAGATGTAGGACTGGGATAATCAAGAGAGGAACATACTAACTGTAATCTAATTCCAAAGACTTAAGGAAAAATATGTCACTCACATACACTGATATCTCCTAGACTGATTCAAACATCTACATAAGGCTCCTTGTAACTTAGGAAACTAAATAAAGTTGCTTCTGTTTATGAAAACTAAGCAAGAAGAACTCTTTTCCCCATTATCTTTCATGGAAATAGGTTCACCTCTTGTCATACAGTTCCTTTTTAATCTAATAAAAGTTGAAAAGATAATCACAAGGCCTTTCAAAAAATTTTAATGACGCCTTTGCCCAACCCTTTACATGCCCCCGCCCCCAAACACCAAACCCTCTGCTTTCTCAAGACGGGAAGTCTTCCTCCGGTCAGCATTCCCTCCTGGCATACCCCCTACCACCACCCCCCCTTCACCCCCGCAGGCCTGAGGCCCCGTAGCAAACACAGTCGAACAGGAGCAGGCAGCACAAAGACAGGAATGGGAGATTAGTGGGAGGGAGGGAGGCCGGGATTGGGGCTCAGCAGGAGCTTCAGGCTTTTTAAAATTCAAACTGCTCCCCGACCAATACAAATCACGGACACGCTACTGACTACTACACGGATTTATAGCATTAAAAACATGCCCAGTACGTGACAGCTATATTAACTTCACTCTTTTTAACATTTATCCATACGTTTGCAGGAAACGTGGAGCAATTTTTAAAGCAGAATGTTAAAATCAAAAATCACCCGCAGAAAAGTTTTTCTATCTACAGTGACAAAAATATAAGACACAAAATACCTAAACCAATATTTAAAACCATTACTATTAAACCGAGGGACTTTACTGAAGAGTGTTGCTTCCTTTTAACAAATGAGTTTTCCTTCAGCGAGTACGAAACAAAATATCAAACGGGACATTTCTTTTTCGGTGCAATTTGTAAGTCTGACGACTTTCAACAAGGTATTTCCATCTCACACCAACTTCCACTACCGAAGCTGCCACAAACAAGCTCCCAACATTTATAACTTACTCGCGAACGAGAACTTGTTAGGATACAGAACTGGTATTTTTCTCCAGCATTTACAGATACATTTGACCTATTAAAATGACACCTCGCTCATTACACAGTCAAACATCATGGTACAAACAGCCAATGACAATCCTGGGACCTCACGAAGATCTGCCCTGACAAGAAAGGATAGCACCTTCTACGTGGTTTTTTTTTTTTTTTTAAACCTCCCAAAGATTTCAAGTGTAACTCAACTTCTATCCTTTGAAAGAAAATAGGTTTCATCCTTATCTCGGCCTAAGCTCAGAACATTTCAAATTCTTTGTATGCTTGCACACGCTTAGGCTAGCAAGTACCTGGGGGTTTTACGTACAGTCATTTAAAATTGTCCTTACATAACACATACAAACATAAAGTGGCAGAGTAAACCTGTCAAGTACTTTACACTTATCTTTGAATATAAAGTCCATGTGCAACACACACTGTCAAACAACATAAAAGCTCCTGGGCGAGGATGTGCAGGGTCTTACTACGTACGCTATGGTTTTCTATATTAAATATACATGCGGACGGTTTAATCCCTTTACAGAGAAAACGAGCCTTTTATTAACTTTCCAACCTCCAAACAAGTTTTGCAGAGAATTACCACTGCAGCCGTGTCTGAGTATTTACATTTGATTCACTAACTGAAACTACTTCCTCCCTTCATGGGGTCACCGGGGGAAGAAGGGGGGTTGTTTGTTTCACTGGGACGTTCCCCACTCCCGGACCGGGAAAGTTGTAAATATGGGGACGATCGGGGCACATTTGCTGATAGTTGTATTGTTTCCGCCTCCTCACTAGCTACGGCTCCTCTCCCGGGCGAGGCCTGTCACCGACCAGCGGTCGCTCCGCTCAGCCCCGGAGCTCTCCTAATCCCCGAGCTCAAGTAGATTCCGCTGGCCCGCGGCCTGCACTCTCCGCCGGGCCTACGCCTCCCCGGCCGCCCGGCAGGAGCCCGCTCCCCGTCACCGAAAGCCGGCCGGGGAGGAGGGTACAAAACCCCGCGCCGCCACCCAGGGTGGCTGCCGCCGGAGAGGAGCGAACTCTCCGACTCGCCCGTGGAAGAGACCTGGGGCCGCTGAGGGAAACGGCGGGGAGGGGAGAGAGGAGGAGAAACGCTGAGGACCTGGCGCCGGCGCCGGCGCCGCCACCGCCGCCGCCGCCGCCGCCGCCGAAATAAAGAGCAGGAATTTACCTGGGCGAATCGGCGTCTGAATCCAAGCGGAGGCCGAGGCCGCTGTGGCGAGAGACTATAATCCGGGCCGGGAGGGGGGGTGGCTACGGCTCCTCTTCCGTCTCCTCAGTGCAGGGAACATGTAGAGCCGGGGGGAGACCAGCCGAGAAGACAAATCGCTGCTGCTGCTGCTGCTTCCTCCTCCTCCTCCTTCTCCCACATAGAAACACTCACAAACACCCGAGCAGGGGCCCGAGCTACCGGGGGGGCATCGCCGCGGGCCCAGGAACCAATCCTCCTGTCGGCGGGGGCGTCCCTCCCTGCGGCTTGGTGGTGGTGTCGGGTGAGTCGGTACCGACGGAGGGAGGGGGGGGAGGGCGGGCGGGGGGAAGGAGCCCTGTGTGTGTGTGTCTCTCTCTCTCTCGTTCCGTCTCTCCCTCTCAGAACAAAATGCCGACCGGAAGTGCAGCTGCAGGAATGACTCCCTCCGCCGGCGCCAAACACTAACAACCACCCCCTCTTCCCCACTCCACTTCCGCCACCGCCGCCGCCGCCGCCGCCGCCGTCGCCGCCGCCGCTCGGGCTCGCCGCTCGGCCTCGGCGTCCCGGTTCCCGCGGGCCCCGGGGGCCTCGGCCTCGGCGGCGGCGGCGGCGGCCGTTCTTCTCCGCGTCCCTGGCCGGCCCCGGACGGCCGCGGATGCTGCCTTGGGGCGGTCGCTCCTGCGAGGCGCCGTCTACGCCCGCTGCTCGGGTGGCCGGTGCTCCCCGGCTTGGGTTTGGTTGTTTTTTTGTTTTTGTTTTTTTTTCTCCCCCGAAGGCGACAGCAGCCGGGCGCTGGTCCGGTGTGATGGCTCCGCGGCCGGGCTCGCTCTCCTTCTCTCTCCCGGGCGCTCCGGGCCTCATAGGCCGCCGCGGACGGCGGCGAGCGGAGGCCGCCCTGCGCGCCCTGACTCGGCGGCCATCGGCCCCGGGGAAGCCGAGCTCGGACGGCCAGCCGGTGGATGCCGACGGTGCGCCTTTGAAACGGCGTCCCTGCAGCCGCGATGGATGGATGGATCGCACGCCTCCCGTCCTTTGAGCGGCCGGACTCTCTGTCTGTCTGTGCTATTTCTGCGGAGAACGCAATCCTCGGAGGTGAAGGCTCCCAGCCTGGCTGAGTTGGAATCGTGATCGTGGTGCATTAATTTCTGGAAATACGCGGGCGCTGCTGGACTTGCCTCTTTTTTTTTTTTTTTTTTTTTTTTTTGGCGGTGGTTTTGATTCATCCCTGAAAGTCGGGAGAAGGCCTGTAGGCGACGCTGTGCGAGCGAGGAGCGGGTCGCTCCGGCGCGGCGGCGGTCTAGGTGTGGGTGGAGCCGAGGCCATCCGGACGCGGGGCACCGGAGCCCGGGGACCGGCGCACTTCAAACGTCGTCTTCCTCTTTATGCTTGAAACTCAGAGGCGTTGGACAAGGCTGGAGTACAAAAATGTGAATATGCATACACTACCGTGCCTGTCTGTAGTGGCTTACTGTAAAACGAGGGAATTCCATCGCTGCAGAGTTTTCTGTTTTGTATAAATTAAAAGGGGGCTGTTCTCCAGGTTAAAAGGTGCCAGTAGGTAAGCGGATTTTACTCAGGAGGAAACATGCTGTTTTTTAAATGAATTAAGTTGTCAGCGCCAGTCGTTTATTTGTATGTGTACAGAGGTGCTAGAAGTGTATGGGACAGCTCACCTCCAGGTTATTCTTTTGCTTTAGAAGTCACTGGGGGCCAAGTGTTTTAAGATTTTGTCATTCCTGCTCTCCAGACCCTGGAGTAAGTCGGGGCCCAAAGAGTCCTGCAAGAAATGGGCAAGAAAGGAGCCCGATTCGGCATCCTTGCAAATAGAACTATGTCTCGCCATGCCTCTGCCGTCTTACCCCCAGAGCATCCGTAGAAGTTGGCCCCGTCCTGAGGATTTTGCTCAGATGCCACCTGGGTGCCTTCATCGCTTCTTTTACCTACAGGTTGGCGGCTTCGGTCTCATTTTATCTTCCGGGCTCTTTGCCCGGCAGTTTCAGGAGATGAAGTTTAGCTTTGCTTCGCTGGTGTGATGTATGCATCGCGCGCTGTGGCACCCTCTTTCCTCATTTCTGAACTCTACCCTTTAATATCAGCTAATATATACCTGAAAGAACTTTCATGAAAGATGGTGAAAACTAGGAAAATATATAGACGGAACCGAGGTAAGTTTATCAGAGGTCAGGAAAAGATCTCTTCTGGGCATTCGAAAGCTCATAAAGGTGATGGCTGCTTTTGGGTTTCTCTAGATGGCGTGGCAGAGACCAGTGCATTTGTTGATCAAGTGACCTTATCCATAGTGGGCTAATTCATTTTGCTCTCACGAGTCATAAAACTTCATTCTTAATCCTGTCTGCCCTTTTTCTTGCAAAATACACACTATTTTGACTGAACTGAAGTCCAAGAATGTGGTTGGCTCAGCTCAAATACAGCACTACTAGAAAAATTCATTCAGCAAGTACTTATTGGTCACATAACATGTGACACTGTGGTTCAAAAGGTGTATGTTTCAAAGGCCTTGTATAAAGGACCACATTTGGCTACTTTGGTTACTCTTAATTATGTTGTCAAGCAAAGCAAAAGCTAGAGGAATTTATTTTTAAGTTTTCTGAAGTAAAGATTCTGTGAAAGATGAGAGCAAGCTTCGTGTTGAGGTTGATGTTATTTACATTTACTTACCTTATTGTAGCATTTGCTATACCAATTAATTGGAAATGATTTTTGAAAACTATAAAGGTAGGAAATTTTACTTCCTAGTATCAGGAAAAGTAGGTCTTACAAATTAAATATAGCAGTATACTGGAAGTTGTATAGAAAAGGCTTTAGTTATAGTTTAAATTTTTATATTTTATTTACAGAATTTTTGGACAAGAATACCATTTTAATAGCTATTTTACATCCCATTAGCATAAATAATTACTTATTATTTAGTACAGTCAACAATCTGCTCAGTATTAATTTTGAGAACAGATTTAAGTAACTTACAAATGGCTTAAAATGCTTTTCACTCAGTTTCAAAATTCATTTTCCTTATGGAAGCACAATTATCTTCCTGTCCGCTTTCTTGAATGTTGCTGGTGAGCTAGTAATTTTGCATGCCTCAGTAAAGACAGCTGATAGGCTGTTGGTACAGAGTCTTGGCATGGATGCAGCATTTCATCCAAACTTAAATTAAAAACATAATTTGGTGTGCGCATGTCCATGTGTGAGGGTGTTTTCATGTGGAAGCCAGAGGTCAATCCAGGTGTCATTCCTCTGCAACTTAGGGGAAACTAGCTAGTTTGAAAGTCCCAGGAATCCACCTGTCTGAGCTTCCCAGTGCTGCTATTACACGTGTACACCACCATGTCCAGCTTGCTGGAGACTCAAATCGGTTCCTCAGGTTTGTATTTTGCCAACTGAGCAATCTCCCCAGCACCCAAAATTAATAACTTTAATTTATTCCCTCAAAACATATTGAAGATTTATTAGGTGCTAATTAACTCTTTGCTAGGCACCTCATATAAAATAATGAATGAAGGCAGACAAGGGCTCACTCTCTTTGAAGGCTTTTCCGATTACAGAATTAAATAATTTCAGTGCTTAGGAGTATTTCCTCATGGAATCAATTAGTATTTTGCTTGCCTAAATTTAAGATCTTTGTTGTTTTAAGTCAGGCACTCACTATGTAGTGCAGGCTGGCCTAATCCTTCATCCTCCTGTCTCAGCCTGACTAGGCTGAGTTGACTGGTGTGCACCACCACACAATGGCTCCAAACTGAGTCATTCATTACTCAGTTACTTTGTTTGTGAGGTTATTTTCTTGTCTGTTTGCTTAACACCTGTCTTCCTCCATGCTACTAGTTTGTTTCGATTCTACATTTGTAACTTACCTCTAAAACCAGTTGACTTTTGCACCTTGTGTTAAAGAGTGAGTTTCTTGACGCAGTTAGTTGCTAGGAATGTTCTTGTATATTCCCATTTGTATTTTTGATCAGTGAATTACAAAGATATACAATATTTTAGGTGGATTTTTAACTGTGATGTTATTGCCAGAAAATTGGTAAAGCTGATGAATTTTTATGAATTTATATTTTCATGAATATTTATCTTCAAGATAGTTGCAGTTTGCCTTAAAGTGATAAGAATAAAAGATTTTTAGAAAATTATCTTGTCACTATTTATGCCTGACAGTAAACCTTATTATATATTTATCTCTAATAAGAACACATTTTTTAAGAGGGAGAGAACAGTAAATAAAAAACAAATAGTATATGTATGTCTTGTAGATTATAGTAGATTCAAAATGACCTCATATTTAGGATAACTAAATTACATTTAGGATGACTTAAACTTTGGTGAAGAGTTAAGGATGTCGATTTTGAGGGTAGAATTTAAAATTGTCAGATGACAACATTCTATAAATATATTACTATTTTAGCTTCTGTGGGTTTGTTAAAAGGTTTTTATTTATGTGTGTGGCGGGAGTACCCGCAGAAGTCAGAAGAGGGAGTGGAAGGCTGTACTGCCGGGGGTGGGTGCCATGGGTGCCGGGGGTGCTGGGAAGCAGATCTCTGGAAGAACAGGAGGCACCCCTAACTGCTGAGCCAACTCTCCAGCTTCATTTCAGGTTTGTTTCTGTGTGTTTGTCTTTCGTTTTTTTGTCTTTTTGAGCCAGGGTCTCACTGTGTAGATCTGGCCAGGAACTCTCTGTGTAGACTAGGCTGACCTCATGCTCACAGAGATCCACTTGCCTCTGCCTCTGTAGTGCTGGGATTAAAGGCATACTCCTCACCTGGCCTTATTTCATGTTTTTGAAATAAGTGCCTTAATTAAATTTATGGTAGTATTTATGGAACCCATTTGATATACTTTATATATTTTTTTTCTAAAATTATAGAAGTGAGTTTTTTCCTATGACATCTTTATTCATTTTTACTTCCCATAGTTTTCAAGAATAAGCTTTATCTTTTCACTAATCCTACTAACTTATAATTAAGAATTTTCACTAAATCTGTAGATCTTATTGTCTGTGTCATTCATTTTAATCATGAGTCCTAACCAGTTTATTTTGTGTGTATAGCTGTGCTTTATGTTTCCAAACTAGGGTAGCGCTACCAGTTACATCTTCTAAGTGTACTTCTGAAATATTTCAATGTAAAGTTATTTAAGGTCATGTACCTTCATGAAAGCCTAATCTACATAGAACCACACAAATACAGGATATGAACAGAGTTAAACTATAGTTGTACTTTAGTACTAAGCTAATCTAGACAATCACCTGCTTAAAAGTGATTTTTATCTCTAAAGGAAGTATGCAAGATGTTTAAAATCTGAAACATCTCCAGTAGATAAGAGCTAAGCTTTTAAAAGTCACTTTCACTGCTCTTTAAGGTGGGTTAGGTTGTAATCAAAATATCTGCTGTTGAACAGTGTTCAAAACTGTTGGCTATGCACTGCTGTGAAGTCTGTAAACTTAACTTATTATGTCCTTTCTTTAAAATAGTGAAGGTAGGAAAACTAACAGTACATCACAGATGGTAAAGGTGCATGTTTTTTTGTTTTTAGTTTTTCGAGACGGGGTTTTTCTGTGTAGCCCTGGCTGGCCTCAGAGTCAGAGATCTGCCTCCTGAGTGCTGGGGATTAAAGGCGTGCCCCACCACTGCCTGGTTCATGTGTTTTAAAATAAATATTTACCTTGTTTATGTGTGTGTACATTTACTAGGTTACTTTTTAAAGTATATTCCATACTGTGAGTTATGGCTATAAGCAAAAGGAGAATGTTTTCTTTGTGTTTCTTTAGAACAAAACAGAGTTCAGATTTTTGTTTATTTTTCCCCTGGAAAGTAGAAAAGGGAAATGTTAGAATGTTGCCTATAAAATATGAATTTTAGAAGAGACACTAAATATTTTAAAGGAGATTTGATGCTCTTTTCAGAAAGGTATTTTCAGGGTAAGGAGCAGGAAATAAAAATGTTGGTTTAAAAAAAAAAGACAATCATGATTCACACTGTACAGAAAAAGTATTTTCCTGATGGATCTACATCTGATGCATTCAGTAGATCAGAGACTATTACCAATCTATTTTGGTGCATTGTAAGCTAACATTTAATACAGCAAAATAATAAATGTGGGACAAATGTAAGGTTTTTGTTCCGTTCCTTCCCGATTTCTCTTAACTTTTATACCTGTATTGCTCATAAGAAAACTAATTGCCATCTTTCACAGAGTAATTATCATAAGAATAAGTTATATTTTAAGATGATAAAAACTTGTCCCAATCAAAAAACAGCTATTCAATAAGGTTTCTCTGTATAGCATGAGCAAATAACTTCTTAAATAGTTAGCTTTGATTTGCTACTCAGTTTATTCTGTTTATTTAAATAAACATGCTTAAAATTGTGTATAGAATTTTAAAATGGGAAACTTACAAGAATTGTGAACAGAATTAAGAGAAGTGTGTAATAAAATAATATATATAACTTAAAGAAGGTAGGGATTATGTATGTCATGCTGAGATTTTTAATAAAATGTAAACATCTCATTACTCTTTCCTCTTACTCTCTATAGATTTCAGTATTTTATTGTTGTGGTCTACTTAAGAGATTTAAAAGGCATTGGTTTTCACCATATCTGAGAGGTCAGTCTGCTACATATCAAGAACCTGTTTCAAAAACTAAACCAAAACAGCATTGTTTATTCAGACTTCTAGTGCCGGATTCCTTAAGTGGCAGGTATATTAAACCTTACATTTTTTAAAAAGTTGCTAAGCATAAATTTTACCATAGAAATAATCCAGTTGAACCAAAGCCTATGTGCTCTCTCAACTTTCAGCAATGTACTAATAATGCCCTGTGAACTATGACTACTACCACTCACCAGCAGGGGGAGTGAGTTGGCCTTGAAAGGTAAGCTAGGAAGGCCATGTGACTTCCTGTTTTGCATTGAACTGTTGTGGCAGCTGTGCTCCTGTTTTAGTCCAGTGTAGAAAAAGCCATCAAAAAGGGACAAAGGCGACTAGTGTGTCAGTTGTGGAGATGGCGACATAGTTAACCATCAAAATTACCTTTTAGGAAGCAAATTGGGAAAAAATATGTAAAGATCCAAACATTTTTATGTTGAGCAATCTTACACTTCTGGTTAAATTACAGACAGCTCAAGGAAGAATAGTGGAACAGCAGAAAATCTTTTCAAACCCAGATGTTAAAAACTAAAAGTAAAAGGTGCAAACTTCAAGACACTGCTTTTCTTTTTACTCCCAGTGTTGACAGTGGATCGGAACAAAACGAGAGTACCAAACATGAAGGAGAGGAAATGTCAGTAGAAACAGACGTGGGAATGTCACAGTACTAGAGTCTGATGGATAAACAGAAACCAGCACCTTAGAGCGGTGGCACACTGCTCTGCAGATGTCAGAGTCAACATTTCTCAGTACTTTGTATTTAAAGTTGATAGTGAGTTCTAAATAGACACATTTTAAAAATACAAATAAGTGGATCAAAATTTTGTTTTGTTTTTTTTAATATACACTTCAGCTAAGGGATACATTTTGCTAGAATATTTTTACAATGAAGTGATTTTTCACTATGAAAATTGAGAATAGAATTGTTTTCATTATCCATTATAAACACAACAAATAACTCAGTACTGGATTTATTTGGAGGTGTAGCTGAGTGATGTGTCAACTTTTAATGTCTCCTAGGAGCCTCAAAATGCCTAATAAGTAGATATGTGTTGAATTAAAAGATATGATCTATTTGTTATTATTTCATGTAGAACCTAAGACCTGGGTTTTAACCAACTGCGTCAAAATAAACTTAAAGACCCACACTGTGAAGCCGAACAATGAAGTGAATTGTGGTAGCCTCGCCACTTACCCAATATAAGGGTGCAGCAATGCTGTCTGAACTGTTTCAGACAGTGGGTCCAGGCAACTTCTAGCCAAGTGTATGGTAACCCATGTTTATTCACTGAAAACGTGTGCTCCTTGAGCTCTTACTACTTCCATAGCGTATAAAAACTTCATTATAAAGTAGACAAAGCCTTATATTCAGTGAATAATGCCATTGAAAATTTGGACATTTGTACAAATTAAATGTGTGCCACCAGTTCTGAGGAAATGGTCCTTTGGAGGAGATCATTAGCAATGACACTAGAGTTAGTATTGGTGGGGGATTTTGAAGTCAGTTCTCTTGTAATGCTCTGTTATAATATACTGTTATGTATGTCCTGGTATTAAGTCTGTTTTAATTATGAAGTGTGTCTGAAACAAAACTCATGCCCTTCCTACAGGACTGTAGTACCAAAACTCCTGAAACAAACGGGCACTCCTAGGTAAGCACATTGTGTGCTTCCTTCTTACAGGTTGTGATGGGTACGAGCTGAAGAACGGTATGAACAATCTAACCTTTTAAAGTCATTTTTAAAAATTTTTCTAATGCTTCTGTACGTGGAAAAATTGCTAGAATAGTCTTTTAGGAAGCACATTAATAAAGTGGCAGCTTTATTATGAACCATTTCCTTATTGCAAGCTTAATGCATATCACAGTCTAATGGAATAATTGTTGTAACTTCGTCATTATTTCAAAATACATAGTATACACAAGATTTAATGATTTAATACAAGCAGGGCGGTGGCAGTGCACGCCTTTAATCCCAGCACTTGGGAAGCAGAGCCAGGTGGATCTCTGTGAGTTCAAGGCCAGCCTGGTCTACAGAGTGAGATCCATGACAGGCACCAAAACTACACAGAGAAACCCTGTGTGTGGGGGGGGGGGGGGGGGCGGGGGGGATTTAGTACAGACTATAACTAAACTTAAAACCAAAAAAGGGAAAGAAAATAGCTCATACCTTGTTCTATTCTGGAAGAACTCAAGGTGACATTAGGAATATCAATATAGTGACTTCTGGTGAGCAAAAAAGCAGTACAAATCAGTATAATTTTTTTTTCCCTAACAAATCAAATACAAAAAAAATTAGTGAGAAATATGTACTCACAATGGAAATGCTGTTTTAAGTATTGCTCCTCAGATATTTTAAATATTTTCCTAAGACCTAGGGCTAAGGAGTTAACTCAGTAGAATGCACCTGAGATCAATACCAAGACCCCACATGAGAAAAAGATAGACATGATGGCAGATCACTGTCATCTCAACTACCAGGGGAAGCAGACAGGCGGGTTCCTGGGGATCACTGGACAACCAGCCTAGCCTATTTGGTGTATTCCAGGCCAGTAAGAGACCCTGTCTCAAAAAAGAAGTGTTTGGAGTCTGAAGAATGACCCTGAAGGTTGTAGGTTTCTGACCTACACTTGTATGAACACCCCTGTGTATGTGCACATAATAAACACATGAGTACCAAGATCTAAATTGTTTCTAATAGTTACGTTTCTAATTTAGCAGTATCTTTCTTCACTGCTTCTAAAATCATCTGTCCAGTGTAGTGTCTGTATTACCTTGCATTTAATCCTGACATCAACTTTCACTAGATTTTTTCCCTATACATTCACATATTCTTCAGAACTTTTTCTTATGTAAGGAGAAAAGACAGTATTAAACCAGAAGACCTCTAGTAGTATTTGACAGTATTTTACATGTGCAAAGATAATTTAAGACATTTCTGCAGGGTATATAAATAATGCATTGCAAAAGTATTTTTTAAAAATTTACTGGCTTTCTTTAAAACTTTGAATATTGATAACAGTAAGGAATTCAGAATTGATAAAGCTTCGTTTAATTTGTATTTACATTAAATCTAGCTATAGTATTGCTGTAAGAACATTATAGTTATGATGTTAAGGAGTGCTCACTAGAAAACTAATTTAAAAATCATTTTGAGGACTATTAAATTAATGAAAAGAATAGCATGAAAACGTGGATGTGTAGATCCAAACTTGGAAGATGTCAGATCTTTATGTTAGAATGAACAAGATTGGTGTGGAGATACACATCTATAATCCCAGCACTTGAGATAGAAGAATCATGAATTCAAGGCCAGCCTGAGCTACATAGTAAGGCTCTCTCTTAAACAACAAAGAAGGACATAATAAAACAATATTATGAAGCTATAGACCTTTCAGTCAATGAGCACGTGGATCATCTATGTACTGGAAACAGTAAATGGAAATGAGTAATTGTTTCTTTCCTCATATAGCTAACAACACAGACTACTATCTGCTACATTTAAAACAAGCATTAAGTTGCATCAGAAGGACTGAAATTACTGAAGCTAATGAAGGTTTTAATAAAGCTTTGCAGCAGTGGTAAACTTTGAATGTCATTGAAGTAATTTCCAAATAGCTGACAGGGAAATAGGAACTAAATCAGTTATTCTAACGAAGAGGCAGAACATATAAAAATGTGTGCATTAAAAGATTTTGTAATCTGAAAGCCAGTTTGGATGTAACAGATAAAGTAAAGAGGCTGAGATATGTGGTACTCTATCTAGTCTAAAAGAGTGGCTTTTAGTCCCACAGGTAAATATGAAAACTTTGCATTTTAGAGTAACTGCACAGTGACATTAGAAAGAACTGTTAGCTACATTACCCAGACAAGATAAAGAAAGTGGCAACCTGGAAATTACATACAATTGCAAAATATGAATCTAATTGTTTAAAATAGTTATACTCTTTGACATACTGCTTTTTTACATGAACTTTTGTTATGACTGTATTGCTCTTGTAATTTCAATTAAAGCAAAGCAAACCAACCAAACAAAAACCGCTTAAGCATTGGAATGAAAAGTAGAAGGTGAAAGAGGGTGGAGAAAAGGAAATCAATAAGAAATTAATGTAATCATATATTCAAATCACATATGAAGCCTGGGCTATAAAAACAGCTGAAAGGGAGCAGGAAGATTTGAAAGACAGAATAGAATCAAAGACAAATCAATGAATATGTAAGAGAGAGGAGGAGGGAGTCGAGTGTTACTGATCCTGCCAGCTTAGCTCTCTAGATGGTTGGTCACTCATGTACTTGAGAGAGATACCGGACCGAGTATAGGCTTAGAGCAGAGAGAATAAGTCTGATGTTAGAAAAGTTGAACTTGAGGTGCCTGTTGACTCACTGGCTGTCTGGCTAGGTAGTTGGAAATACACATAGATGTCCAGGAAACAACTAGGTACAGAGATAGGAGTCCTCCTCATACATGTGCTAATTGCAGCTACAAACACAGAAAGCTTATAAAAATAAGAGCCGCCGGGTGGCGGTGGTACACTCCTTTAATCCCAGGGAGGCAGAGCCAGGTGGATCTCTGTGAGTTCGAGGCCAGACTGGTCTACAGAGCAAGATCCAGGACAGGCACCAAAACTATGCAGAGGAACCCTGTCTTGAAAAACCAAAATAAATAAATAAATAAAATTAAAAGAAATAAGAGCCAACAATTATAAAGGACACTTGCTATGGTTTAATACCACGATTTTCCCTCTAAGACATTCTAGAACTTTTTATTTATTGTATTCATTCACATCTTTCAGATGCTGGGCTCTAATCAATAACCTGTAAAATCTTACATCATCTAATCCTAGGAATTACTCAGTTACTGTGTTTTTTACATTTTGCTTGAAAATAGATCAGGAAAACAAGGGGATTTCCTAAGAAAGCAAGAAAGTTAACACTTTACTTTGAAGCAGCTAATTATTAACATTAAATGATACTTTGAATCTAGAGCTAGGCAATTTAGCTACACCTTCCTCATTTTCCAGTTAGTCAGGAGTTTTTTGTTGCCATCCAATCTGCACATCCACCTGGCTACTTATTACTGCCTGACCTTTATCACTTGGCTTTTGTTTCTCTTGCTGCCAGCCCTCTTAACAGCTATCCAGTCAGTTTCTACCCTCACCACACATTTTGGGTCTTTTAAATCAAAGATAATCTCACGTTTTTTATTGTTCCTGTTGCCTAATGGTAAGAGGGATTAGAAGTAAAGATTGTGCCATTTATTATAGAGCAGCATTTTTCAACTTGTTCCTGTCAAACACCTAAGACCATCTGCGTATCATATTTTACATTATGATTCATAACAGCAAAATTACAGCTATGAAGTAGCAATGAAAATAATTTTATGGTTGGGAGTTACCAACATGAGGAACGGTATTAAGGGGTTGCAGCGTTAGGAAAGGTTGAGAACCACTGCTCTAGAGGTTTCTGTGTTTCAGTAATAAATTGAGTAGTAAACCACGACAATCAAAAAGTCCTCTCTGGGCTGGTAAGATGGCTCAGTGGTAACTGCACGTGCTATGCAGGTCTGAGTTCTATTCTGGAACCTTCTTAAAGGTAGTTGGAGAAAGCGGACCAAAAGTTGTCCTTTGACCTCCATTCACACAACATGACATGTACATCCCCACATATACAATGGTCCTTTTTAAAATTCATGGATGGCCATATATGTTACAAATCATCTAAAAGTAGAGTTATAGTCAATTATCTATTCAAGAATATTTAGTTTTGTAACATTCTAAAGCAGTACCCAAAATAGCTAGGTATGCTATATATAATATATATATTACCATATATATAAATTTTGCATATACATATGCCTCTTGAAGTGTTAGACTTTAAGATTCCGATAAAGCTGGGGCAAGTACTAGCTGGTTAATTTGGAAGGCAATACTGACGTACAGCAGGTAAGATTTTGCTTAGGAATGGAGGTACTGTTCAACAAGTTCTAGCACAACTGAATCGCCATATGCAAAGACTAAGACCCTTCCCTCACACCACTTGCAAAAATTAACTCAAAGATCAGTGACATATATAAAATCAAAATCTGTAAAGCTGTCAGAAGAAAACAAGTAAAGCTTTATGACTTTGGATTTGGCAAAGGATTCTTAAATATGAAAACAGAAGCATCAGTTACTGAAACAAGTTCATACTGACTTCATCCAAATCTTATACTTGAGGGGCATCCACACCGCCAAGAGTGTGAAAGTAGAGAACAAGAGCAGCAGTCTCCAAAACAGGAAGGAAAAGCATCTGCAATTATAGAAAGGATCTGTATGTGAAATATATGAACTAAACTCCAAGTAAAGTAACTCGATTGTGACTAGATATTGCTCAAAGAAGAAATATAAATCCAATCAGAGCATGAGAAGATGTTTAACATCATTAGACACCAAAGAAATGGGACAGCACTACATTGGCTGGAATAAAAAGACAGATTAAAGACAAAAAGAGGGAGAAACTAAAACCCTCAGGTACTGCCTTAGGAATGTGTAGTAAGTTTGGAAAACAGTCTCGCTCTTCTTCAAATGATTAAATATTTATTTCCATGTGACTGAGCGATTCTAGAGAAATGAAAATGTGCATCCACATAGAAATTTGTGCCCAAAAAATGTAGCG